TGCTCTCTAACCAGTCTACTACCAACTGAAAATTAAATTTAAAAATAATTTCAAAAACAGGATAATTTACCTCCTACAACACTCTACTATGGGATAGTAAAAAAAATGCTTAAATACAATTTTTACTCAAAGGTAAAGTTCATTAGATTTAGCTATATTTTTCCTAAATATGAATTGAAAGGACAACAGTCTATCTCAGATCACTTCCTCAATTCCTCACACTCATCCATCCATTTAAATTCACCTTTATGACTGGCTTTTTCAATGGTCTTTTTCAAGGTCATGGGGTGAAGAGAAATGCAATGTTGCTGTTTTCCCTTAGCTGCTCTGGTGACACTGACTGTATAAAAACATGGCATTTTCTGAATAAATTATAAGCATTAACAGCAGAATGGTAGACTGCTATCTGTCAGTCCCAGGAAACAGCACTGAGAGAATTTCTGTTCAGTTCCACATCACAAGTCTTGTGAAGGCACTCAACATTTCAGCACTTAACCACGTTATCTTATTTTGCCATACCTGGCTTTGTCGCACCAACGAATCTCTCTGGAATAGATTGTTCACGACAGTCTTTTCACTGGCATTTATAACCTATGGAAAAATAAATCCATTTTCAAATGACTGAAACACATTCATATAATATTTTATATCTTCCATGTTTATTTAGTAGTATCCATCTATCAGAACAATGGCCCTCTGCAACAAACTAGACTACTACTCTTATAGCACCTTCCAAATCTGCTTGTGGAGATGAAATCCTGAAGTGCAGATTGGGCAAGAGGGAAGTGAAAGTTCTGTTTCAGAAACAGAAGTATACGGTAGTGCTACCATTTGCACTTTGGGGCTTTTTAAGGCAACATCTGAAAAAAAAATATAGCTGTTGTAATTATTCACTTGCATTGTTTTGTCCAGTTGTATTAGATATTTTGAAGACAGTGATATTTGGCTAAAAAATAATATACTTTAGACTTTAGAAAATGAGTTTGACAAAACTTACTGCAAGATCAAATATAGTTTCATCTTCCATAGCAGACTGTATTCTGTCTCTAGGTTTAAAAGACCAATATGATAGATTAACATTAAAACATATTTACATACACACACACACACACACACACACACACACACACACACACATAGTTTGTGCTATGTGTTCCACAGAGCACAGCTTTTCAACCTTTTCACAGATTGTTCCACGTTTAGGACATGACAATATTAGAATACCACCAGTGCTTAGCAAGGTGTCAAAAACTTGATGACTAAAAAAAAGGGAGTGGGGGCTGGGCTTTACTGATTAGATTTATTTGTTGTTATAGAAATGGCTAGTTTACAATATTATGGAAAAGTAAAAAGTTGAGGTTCAATGTTAATGCTTCTTTCCTACTGCAACAGTGGAACTCAGAAGTCAATGCCTTTTCTTTCCTTTTTTCCTTCTCCCCCTCATGTTTCCCTTTTTCTCTCGCCCTTTGCTCACAACCCCCCCCTTACACTTTGCTCACAAAAGCTTCTCTTGCTCTCTTTCACTCACTTTGCTCGCAAAAGCTTCTCTCGTTCTCATTCACTCACACTTTGCTCACAGAAACTTCTCTCACTCTCATTCATTCACTTTGCTCGCAAAAGCTTCTCTCACTCTCATTCACTCACGCATTGCTCGCAAAAGCTTCTCTCACTTTCACTCACATTGCTCGCAAAAGCCTCTTTCACTCACATGTTGATCACAAAAGCCTCTCACGCTTTCACTCACACTTTGCTTGCAAAAGCTTCTCATTCCCATTCACACTTTGCTCACAAAAGCTTCTCTTGCTCTCATTCACTCACTTTGCTCACAAAAGCTTCTCTCGCTCTCATTCACCCACTTTGATCACAAAAGTTTCTCTCGCTCACTCATTCACATACGTTGCTCACAAAAGCTTCTCTCGCTCCCATTCACTTATACTTTGCTCGCAAAGCCCTTCTCTTGCTCTTGTTCAGTCACACTTTGCTCACAAAAGTGTCAGAATCCAATTATATTTCATCTCTAGTTATCAACTATGGAAAACCCCATTCCTGCCTTCTCTGGATTCTGTTATAGATGAAGAGAAGTGGGTGAACAAAGGGGCTTTATGGCCCTCACTTCCTTCAGTACACTTCAAAGAGACTGGATGTGGATACCACCAAAAGGACTAACCATAACAATGGGGCTATTACCTTTCATTTACTCCTCTCTGAAGTCTACCTCCTGTCGGCAGTGCGAGAAAGGGGGTGGGAATGTAATGCCTGGGACTGTTGCTGGAAGAAGGGGGTGATGGGGTGGGGCTACTTGGGAAACCCTTAAAACCTTGAATGGGAGAACTTGGACCCCAAGTCCTGTCTAGAACGCCTGCAACCATTTTCTCTTAATAAAGGATGCCTGTTGGAAGAACTATTCCAAGAGTTCTGTCTTCTTCATATCTGGTGGTCATGTAAAAATATAAAAGCTTTTTGGATTAAGATATGGTGGAATATTCAAAGAATTTTTAGAAGAAGGATAAAATTTACCCCACAATTGTTCTTGTTAGGTATTGTTTCTGATTGTGATAGTAAAGAGACTATATTGATGTTAAATTTAATTACAGCGGCCAGGTTGTTAGTAGGGCAATGTTGGAAGAAGGAATCTTTGCCTACTTTGCAAGAGTGGTTTCTTAAAGTTTCTTATTTGGCAGAAATGGCAAAGATTTCGGCTTTCTTGAAAGATCAATCGCAAGAGAAGTACCTCCTGGTATGGAACAAATGGATAGATTTTATACAATATAAGTTGGATATTAAAATATTATTTAGTTTTTGAATAATTTATATTTAAACTTTAAGATATTTCATAGATATTTTTTTTAACTTTTTTTTATTTTTATTTTTTTTATTTGAATTTTTCTTTTCTGTTTCTTTTTCTCTTTCTTCTTGTACTCTTTTTATATATTGTTAACTATTTTATAAGTTGTTTAATGCACTTAGATTTGCTTATGGTTTATATGTGTTTTAAGATTTTTTTTTAAATTTTTTTTTAATTAAGCCTGTATTCAGCTCTGGGAAGGTCGAGGGAGGGTAGGGGAGGGTTGGGAGGGTTTGGGGAAGGGAATTTCTTTTTGTAAAACTTAAAAATTTTCAATAAAAAAAAAGAGTTCTGTCTTCTTCATTCACACATTGCTTGCACAAGCCCTTCGCTCGCTTTCACTTACTCTTCACTCACAAAGGCCACTCGCTCACTCTTTTTCTCCATGTGTTTTTTTCTCTCCCTCTCCTGCCAAAACCTGTTCCTTTTATAGCTTCTCCTCTTTCTGCCCTCCTCCTCTTCTCTTCCAGGTGCACCAGAAGCTCCAACCAGGATACAGCTGCGCGCTCAGATCCTGGGGCTTCTGCCGAGGCCTGCAGCTCCAGCTGGTCTCCTCTAGGCCTGCGTCGCTTTAGCTCGTTCCCTCCCCCGCTACATTTGGCTAGGGGTTGTGTACCACCTGCCAGGTGCTAAAATACCACTGGTTGAAAAGCCCTGACATAGAGGGCTTTAAAACAGTATTGCTGAAACCTCCAAGAAGGTTAATACTTTCTTTCATGTTTTTCAAATTATGCAACACAAAATTTTATGCATCTACTACATTCTGCATTGAATTATCTATCACCCAATCGCCAAGATAAATCCACTTTGACTGAAAACATACTTCCTAAGCAATAAATGCAGTAGGACTGAAATACAGACAGGATTGCACTGCAAATTTATGAATAACATACTTTTCCTGAATAATGTTCTTTCTAAGACTGAACAAATGAAAGTTTTCTTAGTGTTTCTTATAAATTATTTATTTCATATAAAAGAAACATTTATTTTTATTCAAATATAGACTATAACACAAGAAGGTAATATGCTGAGGAAGGATTTGAATGGCTTTTAGAGAGTTACCTGTAAATTGACGACAAGAGTCTCCATGTTACCATTTCCTGCTTTAGAAGCCACAAAATACTAGCAGTTTTGGAAAATTTCTGTTGTCCAGGAGTTGCTCGATACACTATTTTTTGAAGAATGTTTAGCTGATGTTTGAAAAACAGTGAAGAGCTACTTTATTTGAAGTTTTATGTTATTCATTATAATTTATTATATTGTTTAGCATAAAGTAACAATTTATCATTTACTGTATTTTGCATTTTGAGTATGTGAGTATATTCTTAGATGGTGGGATGCAAAGAGCAGTTTTCAGGCTTGCAGGATAATTTTTAGAAGAAAGTTCCTAGCTTGCACAGAATAGCACAAACAAGCTTGGACTACAATTGGGCTTTGATTCTGTAGCAATAGCTAATGAGATTCAAAACTGACTGTGCTATTCTTATCATTAGCAGAGAATGCTGTATGTGGCATGAACACTACAAAGACTATTAATCTAGTCTATATCTCTATGTTATTGATTACTTTATCTTACTGTTTTCACATAATTATGTAAAAGCTCTGATTGATCAAACTTTAGATAATACAAATCAGTATCTATAAGCCAATCTAGTTATGATCATTATCTATGGCAGTGATGGCAAACCTTTTAGAGACTGAGTGCCCAAACTGCAACCCAAAACCCACTTATGCATCGTTGAATGCCGAGTGGGCGTGGTCCATTGGCTGGGTGTGGCCAATTGGGTAGGCATGGCCAATTGGATGGGCATGGCTGCAGTGGTAACGGCAGACTGGGTGGGACTAAAAAGTTCTATCAATCAATTCCAATTTTGCAAGAACTTTTGTTTTCCTGCGAGAAGTTGAAATTGACTGATTGAACCTTTTTTTTTTTTGTACACGGCGGCGGAGGCCTAAAGCGAAAAGGTTTTATAAAACCCAGCTGAAGGCCTAAGACTGGGGTGACGATGCACGTGCCCACAGAGAGGGCTCTGAGTGCCGCCTGTGGCACCCATGCCATAGGTTCGCCACCACTGATCTATGGAAAATTCTTGGATTGTAAAAAGTGTAACTGAAGGTCCTAAGAACTGGATATTTCTTCATCTCTACTTTGCAGCATAAATCTCAAAAAAAAAAGAGCAAGCAATTTTCCTTTCAAAACAAGCTTACAAGCAAAAGTCTGATAGGAAAAGTACAGACAAAGGGGAAAAAGATAGATAATAAAGTTGAAATGGTGAGTAATATTTTTAACTTTTCTTTTAAACCACATATTTCAAGTAGTTCTATCTTTACCCAATGAAAACTGGCAAAGTGGCTCTCGTGATTACCTACAAAGTGTCCTTCCTACAACATTTAATGAAGGCCAAACTTACTTGCTTATTCTAAAGAATTTTGGTTAAGCAAGAAATCATTGAATAACATAATAGAATTCTATATACCTGGTTACTGCAAGTACCTTCATATTCATCTATAAGTTCAAAAACAGTATTTGAACTATGCTTTAACAGGGAATGAAGAAAGTCAGGATACATGCTCCGAGCAGCTAAAATCACAGAAAAAACGTGTTCATTAGTATGATTTGTTTTATGCAATTGTTAATTGTTATGGCTTTACATTTAGACTTTTAATCATAATACAGATCATCCTCAACTTATGACCACAATTGAGGCTGGAATCTCATTTGTTAAGTGAAGCATTCATTAAGGAAGATGCTCATGTGACTGCTTTGCTCAATGACTGCAACCCCAACTCTCCCAGTTGCGGTCATTAAGCAATTGCACAGGGGTACCTTTGAAGGGGGAGAGGCCCAGTGCCCATTAGCATATGGAAACATGTCATGGGCCAGGAAGCTTCGACTGGCTACAGGGACTAATGGCATACAGAAACTTGTCACAGGCAGGGAGGGTAGGGCCCTCTCCTTTCCCAAGTCTATTTACTTTACCTTTTTCTACAACTGCTGAAAGAGGCTTTTTAGACTTCAAAACAATAACCTTTGCAGGCTTTCTGGCCAGAAAAGAGCCTTTCTAGCCTTCAAAATAATCACTCTGCTAGGTTTCACATTTGCTGGTCAAAAACATCTTCACTTTGCAGGCAAAGGCAATCATTCTGAAGGCTAGAAAGACTCTTTTCTGGCCAGAAGGCTAGCAAAGGCTTTCTTTCCCCCCAAGAAATTGGTGCCCTATTGTTATTACCCAAGAGAACATATGAAGAAAAGCTTGCTCAGTTTCCTTCTGTTCACTGTACATTAAACTCACAAAATATGTATTTTTATCTGCTTTTTTCATAGGCTCATTGGTCAATATTGTTAAACTGTTATTCAAATAAAACATGAAGATATTCATCTCTTACCAGCTTCCCCAGGGTCATCCTCATTCACGAGGACAGCACTCTTTGTGACATCTTCTGCTGCACTATAATCTAAGTTTGTGAACATGACTGAATGTGGAGGTGTAAGTGCAGCTGTCCAGTCACTGTCATCTAACTAAGACACAGAGAATTTTATCAGTATCAAGGCAAGTTTGTTTTCTAACTGCAGTCTATTTTAAGATTCAATGAAGGTAATAGTGCACTATAATCACAATTATAAGTTGGAAAAATGCAAGATAGGTATTAGCTTTCACATAAATTATTTTTAGCAAAGCATTAAAATGTATTTTATTTAGACTCAGAACAACCTACATGGCCATTATGAGGCTAGAATCACATCCTTACTGTCCATGTATTAAAATGTCATCTAAAAATTCCTTTTATTAGCTGCAAGAACTTTTATTTCAACCAATATAAATGTCACATTATTACATATCAAGACAAGGTTTTGTGATTAAAAAATAAAACCAATCAATTAAGTAAGGATAATATATCTTCCAAAACAGTAACAATAACACCAACTCTCTTCCCATCAAGTTAAAGACTAACAAGATTTTGCAACCTTCAAAGTGACAGAAGAAAATAAGTTGATGCATTTCTTTATTTATTTATTCAATTTTTATGGCCGCCAGTTCAAATAAGTGCTATGGGTGGTGACCAATAAAAAAAATCAATTAAAACCAAATACAAACACAAGATAAAAATAATATATATAGCAACTGAGAAAAATCAGAACCCTGTATGTTAATATAACCAGGAAACAGGGTGTTTCACACAGACGAGATCCTAGGCCTGGACACATAACCAGTCTTCAAGGTCTTATAAAAGCCAACAGAATCAGGGCCAATGAGAAGACAGGTACTTGGAGACTTCCGGTTCTGCGCGCAGCGAAGCAGTTGAGGGGGTTTGGGACTCCATGCCCTCCAACTGAGTTTCTTCCTGTTAGGGGACCCTAAATGGGCTAAAAGCTGCCCCGGAGAGGTGGCAACGAAGGAAGGAAGTCCCAGGGACCGCGGAGAGACGGCAGTCGACCCTATCGGTCCAGGAGAAGCCTTCCAGAAACCAACAGGAGAAAGACTAACCTAACTCCATAGTCTAGCCCAAGCTATGAGCAACCGAAGTCAAAAGCACTATTTTAAGCTGATCGTAAACAATGTGCTTGAATCTAGGTAAGAACATTGCTTTTCTCTATCCTACCTATCAACTTTCCTGAAGAGGAGAAATTCCCAAGGGGGGGGGGGAAAAAAAACATCTCCAAGAGAGTGAAGGAGGGGATTTTTCGCCCCACCCTTTTGCTAATGGAAGCGGCGAACAGAATCTTTCATGGAGGAATAAAATCTGAAAAATGAACCAGTGCTGACATCTGCTGGTGGATGAGGATTATGACAGTCATGGTAAAATCTGGGGAAAAAACTAATCTCTACTTGTGACCTTTAAAGCTTTAACAATAGAGAACAGCTTTGTAGATAGTGAGACTTACAAACCTGAAGGAACAACAACAACAACAAAAAAAAACAACAACAACCTTTTCTGAACTCTCTGGACTTTAAATATTTATTCAACTCTAAATCCAAAGCTATTTCCGGGGGGGGGGGGAGATGAAATCTGGACTTTTGGTCATCATGGAAAATCAGAGATTTATAAGAAATACTTATCAAGAAAAAAATGAATATTTTTCAAGAGGAGATATATGATATGTTGCAACTAATTCAAATAACAACGATCTCAAATCAGAAAGAAATCCAGAATAACTTTGAAAATATAAATCAACTCATTTCCAATTCAATTTTATATCAAAAAACCCCTCAGGAAAATACAGCAGAGAAGGAACAAACAAAACAGATGACTCAACATAAATTCAAGGATAGAGACTTAAAGATGGAATACTACAAAACAAAGGAGTATGATTTAATCCAATTGGGAAAAATTTACAAGAAATACTAGATTTGGAAAAAAAACAACTTATATTTCAACACTACAAAATGAACTTGAGGACAAGAAAAAAGACTGGATAAAACGTACTACAGAGATACCAGAGAAAACACTAGAACTGGAGAGACAAAAAGTGACAAGACAAGCAGAGAGAAAAAGAAGGAAAAAGATTCCAAATAAAAATGAGTGGGCAAATGCCTTTAATAAAGATATTGATTTACTTTTTATATCTACAGCAACATTTACGAACATACGGAAAAACCTTTTGATTCAGCAAAATACATCGATCAAGGAAGATACTGGGCAAAGGAAAAAGATTAAGGTGGAAATCAAGAAAATAGATGATGGGACTTTTCAGAGAGAATACTTTAAAAAGAAACGTTTGTTTGAATATGGTTAAAGAAACAGAAAAAATTTGGAACATATATGCTATTCTAAGAGGGATGAATTCTCTAAATAATATAGTATGCTTTTTTCTCTTTTGTGTTTTTTCTTGATATGAGTAATAAAAAAAGTTGAAATGATTTAAGTAAAGGAAATGTTTTAGATATTTAAATGTGACTGAATTTAAGAAAATTATGAAAAAATGTTTTGAATAAGAGTTAAAGGACTAGATGACTAGAGGTATTGAATGGAATGTTTAAAGATTAAATATATTATTAATTATGGTTAAAAAGAATAAGAAACTGAGGAAATAAATATATATTAGCCTAGGAGGGATATAAATTTTAAGTAGTATGTTATTTCTTATGTTTCTTTACTCTTGCTCTCCTTTCTTTTTCTTTTCATCGTTTTATCTATTTCTTAAGAAATGTAAAAGTGTGAGATGGCTTATACCAGTGGTTCTCAACCTTTTTAATGCCGCGACCCCCAACCGGTTGTAAGTCGAGGACTACCCAACTGGTCGTAAGTCGAGGACTACCCAACCGGTCGTAAGTCGAGGACTTTTCCTGCCCGGGAGCGCTGCACATGTGTGATGCCGCCCCCTGCGCCGGCCGAGGCGTAGCTGGCAAGCGGCAGAGACGGAGCAGGCCGACCACTGGCTGGGCCACCAGCTGGCCCAGCCCAAGGGAGGTAAGGCACCCGCCGGGCCCCACGCGCACCAGCAACCCTCCTGCGCCCGCCGGCCTCCCACCTCTGGCCCTCCTTTACTTATATTTTTAGTAGTTGCTCAGCAGGGAGGAGTGGAAACTTCCAGACAGCTCGCCTTCGCTGCAGACAACTTGCAGCACCGTTTGCAGAATGGGACTTTTGGCGGGCTCAGCAGGGCAGAGACAGCCTGGACAATTCCTATTGGCTTTTGAAAGGCAATAGAATTAGACTCTATTCAAGAGAGTCTATTCTATTGGCTTTCAAAAGCCAATAGAATAAAAGGGAGTAGCACAGCTAAAGAAAAGGGGAAAAAAGTGGTGGACTGCGTTGTTTGGCGACCCCCGTGAAATGGTCGTTCGACCCCAAATGGGGTCGCGACCCACAGGTTGAGAACCGCTGGCTTATACAGAAAAAATAGAGTTAAATTTGTAAATGTAAATATAATTAATTTTTGAGAAAATCTTCACCAGTAAGAATATCTAGAATTTAGTGAGAGAAATAAAGTAAAATAAAGATTGTAACAGGATCTATGATAAGGCAACCAGAATGACTGAACAGAGAAGAAATATTATACTGATATGATTATTATTTTTAGGAATATTGGAAAAAAAATATGTTCAATTGTTATTTATCAAAATATAAGAATTGTATTAATTCAATGTTTGCAAAAGAGGATATTTGGGGGAAAGAGGAAATCAACTACAATTATTATGTGGAATGTGGATTATAGAAATTAATTGTTAATGATTGTTTTACAAATGTAACCCAGACAACACACTGTTCACCAATTAAGTGATTTATGTTTTTTAAAAAATTCAATAAAATATATTACAAAAAAAAGAGAGAGAAGACAGGTACTTGGCAGAGAAGGCATATCTCCTGGCCCTGCTAGGTGACATTCCTTGGCTGACAGGACCCTGAACATGGGTATCCTGCCAGACCAGATTGAATGGTTAGAAACAACTTGGGAGAAGACAGTCCCTCAGGTAACCCAGTCCCAAACCATGAAGATGATAACCAGCATTTTGAATTTCACCCAGAAACACACAGGCAAACAATAAATGAAGCAGTGGTCTTACATATGTTGGATAACTGACACCATTTACTACCGTGCAGCTTCATTCTGGACCAGTTAAAGTTTCTGGATGCTCTTTAAGGGTAACCCCATGTATAGTGCACTGCAGAATCCAGATGGGCAGTCACAAGGCATGAGTGACTGTTTATACTTTCATTTAATAGCAACATACTTGCTAGCAGTAACTAAAGTCATCCTATCTGGGCTGTAGAAATTCAGACAACCAGGAGACAATAGCAAAGAATACTGATGGCCTGGATTTTGTAGTCAATGCAGAATAGCCATGGGAATAAACTATAGCAACCAATCATATTCCTCTATGTCATAACCATCTAATGGGGAAGGGAGGGGCTTTCTTGAATATTTTCAACCTTTCTAAATCCTAGACAAATACTGCAACATAAAATCCATAGTAACTACAGCGGTAATTATTTCTTTACTTAGTGACCAAATAACTCATTCATAAAAACTACAAAATACTCTTACCCTGCTATCTTACCCTGAGGAATAGTTAAGCTCCAACAAGTTCTTACAAATTTTTTCATATTAACTTATCGAAATTTAAAGACACATTGGAAAGGGGAAACCCTCCAATGTTGCCAGGGCTCAATATACATTTTAGCAAGAAAGTATGACATATTGCTTGGAGAAAAGAATGTAGTGAATGTCCTACTTGGATGAAATAAAAAACAGGTGTCACAAACTGATCAGTTTTGGAGGTGGAAGGACACAGTGCAGAACTCATTACAGGTTCCATTTGTACTATTTTTTCTCATAGAACCATACATAGCAATCTTTCCAAAACTGCTTATAGGAAGAAAATTAAAAGACTCAAATCTGCTATTTTATGCATATTTCCATGAACATGTTAAGTGCAGTTGGATGAATTTCTGAGATTACCACTTTGTGATAATAATGGGTTAACACATAGTAGTAGTAGGTGGCTCAATTATCTTATG